ATTAATAAATTAATAAGTAAAGTTAGCAATTTAATAACTGATGTTGCTTCTTAAAATTAACATGTCAACTCATGTAATTTACAACTTATATTTATAAATTAACAAATAAAGTAAGACAATTAATAACTAATAATTTTGCATAATAAATAAAGAGTATTTTGATTTTTTCACTGTTAAAATTAATTTAACTTTTCTCTAGTGGACTAAACTGAATTTTAAAAATTTTGAAACGCATAAATAATTAAGTCTCTTTCATGATCTTTAACTGAAATTTTCTCTAGAATTTAAATAGTAATTTATTTCTAATACTTACTTCTTAAAACTCAATACTTACCCTCTGCCCTAATTCTAAATTCATGATAATGGCGGATTAAGAGTCGTTACACTTGATAACGGCGGACACCGTTGTGCAAGAGGAACCCACATGCAACTTGGGAAAGGGAAGCTGAAGCTTCAAAGTGGAATTGGTGATTCGTGCCGCTTTGATTAAAAGCTAAAAGCATATGGGTTTAGGTGTGTTGTGGGTCTTGGGCGGTAGCCTTATTTTTATTTTTATTTTTATTTTTATTTAATCTAATACTCTTTTCTTCTTTTTCTTCTTCTTTTATCTTTCCTTCCTTCCTTCTTCTTCTCCTTCTCTTTTTTCTTTCATAACTTTCCTAAAATTCAAAATATTAAGTTAAGTTTATATATTTTTCTTAAATAAATTTTTATAATGATATTTTTTTAACATTTATAATATGCTAGGTTGGCAAAATACCTTAAATAATTTTATTTAATTTCAACTAACATTATTGATTTTGTATCTTTTCTAAAAATTATAGCCCAAAATTAAGTTTTTAAAATTAAATCCATTTTTTGTAAATTTTATTTATTCGAATAACTATATGGTAATATCCATTCATCATAAAATAATTTAATTAGCAATTATTAGTGATGTGGCGTTTTTATTGATAGAAATATTTCGTTGCTAATTCAATGATTTTTTTGAGTAGTGATCATCATCATCTCTTTAAGTATATTTAAAAATAAAGAAAATAACATTGGAGACAAAACTATAGTAGCCTAAAACACTAAAAACAAAGTAACAAAACTTGAAAAAATTATAGAGATTAATAATTATGTTTTTTCTTAATTAAGTGCCGAAATCAACACTTTGGAAAGTGAGAAGTTATGCATTGGTGATTTTATATAGTTCAGAATTAAATATAGACAGACAATGAAACTTACTTCCAAAGAAACCATGAACATGACTCATTTCTTGTACTTGATGAAATAATTATAGGGTAACTTTTTAAAGTTACAATTTGATATCTTATCTTATATGTAATAAAATTTAATAGTTTTTAGTGTTTATGGAACAGTAAAATCAATAGTATAGTATGCTTGCAATGTTTTGTTTAACTTGTTTTTAATTTTTTTTTACCGTGCTTATCTTTTTTTTCCAAATCATAATTTTTTCAAGAACATGCTTATGTTATATTTTTAACATGTCATATTGACATATTTTTTATTTTAATAATTTTCAAATTACTTTTTATTTTTTTTCTGGATAAATAATTTTAAAATAAAATAAGATGTTTATACTTTTAGTATGCACAAAAGTAATAAATTATAAAAAAATACAAAGTTATTATTAAAATAACTTATCATATATTTACTACATGGATAACAAATAATAAATGTGTTGTTTTGAAACCAGATATATTTTTTAAAATTACTTTTTCTGAGTAATATTTTTTTCCATAAGCCAAAAAATTCCTTAAAAGTAAAATTTTGTCCATCTTTCTTAACTCTATTACCCAGAAATTCTTACACCGGGCAAAATTGTGTTATAGTATTTTCGATAAAATTAAATATATTATAAGCTCTACAAATAAGTAAAATATATATTTAATTATTTATGTTTTATTTGTCTCAAGCTTGTGTTGTATAAAAATATATAAATACAATGGGAGAGTATTTGATCTCACTTTCAACTTCATATTTTTAGATTTATTGGTTTATTTTCAAATTAATTTCATATAAATTATTACATTCTATACAATTATTAATTGTGCATTAGTGTGATTTCAATGTTATGACTTATTAATCAAGATTTTATCTTATTTTTCTAAGAATAATCATGTCTTCTTGAATTATGTTTTGTTTGATTTAAAGAAAAATAGATGTATGTGGATGAGATTTATTATTTTGTGAATTTCACATGAATGACTTTCCTTTCTTCTTTTCTCCATTAATTATTTGATCTTATATTATATTATATTAAGCCATTTAAATTTGGGTTTTAATGTATATGCTCTTATTTTAGAAGGGACGATTGACAAAATTTAGTAAAAGAAATATTGCAATATATAATGACTCTATTAAAAGTAGATTGTACATTGAATATAATATAAGAGTCACACTCTATTGAAGCACAAATTTTTCATAAAGATACGCACCCATATAATGTCTAGAAACAAATAAAAAGGAAATGAATCTCTACGTTAAATCTCTTTTTAGTTTTTAATTATAGTATTACTAGAATTACAAGAACGTTTAGCATGAGTTTTAACTTAAAAAATCACCATCAATAATTCATAATTCATTCTGGTAAATCGTTCATAATAATTTAAACTTTTAAAGCCTTTACGCAAGCTAACCCACAACAGTACTAAGACTAAAAGAATCTCTCCCATAACACTTAAACACAGCTAGTATGTTTTAAAAAAATAATTTGATTAGATGCTTATATTTTTCAACATGTAAAATGCAACAAATTGTAAAATAAAATAAATCTTTTGTACTTTCAAGTATATAGAAGAGTAATAAATTATCATAAAAATAAGCTAATATATATCTCTAGGATCTCGAATTCATTCAAGTCATAAAATATATAATCACATTTAATAAATAATACTCTCAAATTTCTTAAGGTATTGAGTGATAAAAAAATAAAGAAAATAATTTTAAAATAATTTATAATAAATAGAGTTGAAATTGGTTAGCTCCACTCTTATAAGCTTGGCATTCATAGGTTCAAGCTCTTAAAGGCCTTTTACATTAAGATTAATAATTTCTTCAAGTTTGATCCTTACTAATTGAGTTAAAAGCCACATCTTGAAGCCTATTTTTTTTATCTTATCTTTATTTTTTTAAAATTTTAGTTTGACATTATAATATTATATATTCATTATCTATAATATAAATTATAATGTTCTTAAATCCAAAATAAGTAAATAAATCATAATTTTAAAATAGAAACACATATTTTAAATTTTAAATTTAATCTAAAAATTTAAATAGCTCAATTTTTAAGTTTAAAATAAATACAAGTTTAAATAGGTTACTTAAACTTGAGTTACAGCCCATTTTTAGGACTTAAAACATTCAGATCCAAAAGTTTGAGCCTAAAAAAAACGAAGCATAAATGAGTAACTTGATGAGCTCAATCCATGTTATTAGTTATTCACGACTATACTAATATACATAGCTCATGGGTTATAAATTTTAGATTAGAATATACTCCTATTTAATTTTTTAAGTCACATACAGGATAACGAATTATAAAATATAACAAATTATTGTATAGATATGTATATTTTTGAATTTTTAAATAATTTTTACTTCCATCTTTTTTTACATTTTATTTATATTTAAAATTTTCAAGATTTTATTTTTTTAAAGAATTGAATTTATTGAAATCTTCTCTTCTCTATATTACCCTTAGACTGTAACTTAGGATTAATATCCCACGTACCGCATGGGTGTAAAATATAGTTGCATAATTAAATCTAATTTCAGACATTAGACAATTAACATGAAAAACAAAAATTTCTTTGCATTACTTTATTAAAGAAATATATTTTTATATTTTTATAATTCTTTCAAAAAAATTATATTTAATACTCCTTCCAAATTATAATATAAAACATCTTCTAATAGTATTGTTTAATCCAAAATATAAAGTATTAAATAATTTTTATAATTATCTTTTAATGATACTGCAACTTCATTTATTATTTTTTTAAAAAATATAATGTTTTAAAATTTCAATTATCATCCACAAAACTCTTGTATAAAATATTAAATGAAGATATAATTGAAAAGATATAAAATTTGGTATTAAATTAAATTTTCAAAATTTTTTTTCTAGGAGGAAGATAATCTTATAATAATACTTACTCTTTCTATTAAAAAATATAAAATATTTTTATTTTTTTAAGGTATAATCATTATCTCTTTTTTCAAAAATGTTATTATTAAATAAATCACTTTATATTTATTTTAGAGTAAAACACTAAGAATAAATATAAAAATATAAAATTAAATTAAAAAATAACTATATTTTTAAACATAAAATTTGTTTAAAAATGTATTATATTTTTGAATCAAAGGGAGTAATTACTTATCGAGGAAGGATCAACTTTCCAGATTTCTAAAGCGAATCGTTATTCTTCCATCATTTTAAAGTTCTTCAATACTTGGGGGAAAGGTGGCTAGCACCAAGAGCATGGTTGTACTCCAAAGCCATCGCCTTCAACGCGTCGTAGCCTCCGGTCTCCAAGTGAGCTTCATTCTCTGAAACATCTGTTCTGTAATTTTACTCATCCGGCGAAGCCACGACGTACGGCATGGCAAAATTAGCGCCTGAACAAGGAGAGAGTGATAGGATTAGCAGCTTACCAGACCCTCTGCTTCACCACATCCTATCTTTTCTTCCCATAAAAGAAGCCATAGCCAAGAGCTTGATCTTGTCCAAGAGGTGGACTCGGCTATGGCTGGCAATGCCCGCTCTTGATATTCATGACACTGGCTTTGCTACTCTTGATTCTTTCATTCAGTTTGTAGATGCAGTCTTGTTCTTGTCCCATCCCAAACCCATAAACATGTTTCGTCTCAAGTGTCAGATATTCCAAGTGCCTCCTATCAGGACTAATCTGTGGGTTAACTTTCTGATAAATTGTAAAGTGGAGCATCTCGAGCTGTGTTTTGCAGATTTAAATTCTTAAAGTCACGTTGATGTGCCTGCTTGCATTTTCCACAGCAGTACCATTAAGATTTTAAAGTTGGCTCAGGTTAAGCTGACTGCTCGATCTGTTAATTTGCCTTCACTCAAAGTATTGCATCTGGTGAAAGTTCTATTTTCAAATGCTGAATCTGCGGCTAATATCCTTAATGGATGTGCTCTTCTTGAGGACCTGGTATTAAAATCATGGTCTGCTCCTTTTAAAGGTTTCAACTACCCCAGGATTGGAAGGTTTGAACATTTGGTGTCGGCAGAAGTTGAACTATCTTCGATTCCGTTGGCAGCTTTTAGTGATGTTAGGCTTCTTCGGATTAAGGTACTGATAATAATTTATAGAGTAGTGATTTTTTGAGAAAAACTAATCAATTAGTTCTTATAATTTGTTCGTAATTTTGACTTAATTCTAATCCAGTCATTATAAAATTTTAATCTTCACAATTTTTGTAAAGATTAATTTGTCGTAATTTTTCATAAAAAAATCAAATTTGAGAAACATTTCCATTTACAGTTCTACCAAGGAAGATGTAGATTCGAAACACCAAATGCTCAGAAGATTATCATCATGTCCTAGAGGTTCATTGAATTGCAGGCTGCTATTCCATTAAATTTCTGAAATGTAAAATGATTTTGTTGCTTGTGTCGTGTTTCTTGATTTTATTTTGGCTTATTTCCCTTTTGACTATATATCTTGGACAACATTTTACGCTGGACACTTCATGGAGCTTGTTTTAGTGTGTTTATGCTATATGTGAGAAGATAATCTTTATATATGGGCTGTGCAGCTTTTTGACTTTTGTTTAATTCATATGATATATATCCTTCTTCTTATCCAAATTATCAGACTTTTTTTGTCAACTAAACTTGTTCTACGTATAAGATATTTAGTGCTTTTCGAAATTATTTTTTTTATAAATTTACTCTTGTATTAATTAATGTGAGTATGCAAAATATAATCTCTCACTTTTCATAATAATGATGGGAGCATGAGACTAAAATTGAATTTAGTAGTGAAGCGGTTTCTAGCTTTACCATTGATTTGATTATTGAAACTGACTAATTTATTTTGGTCCTCTTCAATTTGAGGTTTTGTTATAGGGGAGACAAATTTCTGAACTAATTTATCCTCATCAATTTTGTTATATTCCATTATTGTCCATTTAAGAAAATAAAAGATCACTCTTCAAACTCTCATTGGTGCTTCTTGTTGCTCTTCAAACTTCACCATTATTGTCATCAAGCATTCTTCAATGAGTTTTACTTTGCTCTTCTTGCCAGGCTTATTTGGGTTTCTAATTGATGTGAGGAGTTGTTGATAGACGATATGTAAATATGTAAGCCTTGATGAGAGCCTGAGGTCCACTTTTTTTTCAATGACAAAGCAGATTAAATTTAAAAGTCAATCTAATAGTAAGAAAAATGAAAACCAAATTGAGAGTTAAGGTCCAATTTTTTTCTGTACTTTTTTTAAGGAGCGCTAGACATTATATACTTTTAAATAGAATAAATTTTTTTCTGAACTATTTTTTAAGGGAGCAAAAATTCCTTTCTGTCAAATATCTATTTCTTCTCCCTATTATTTGATGACTTGTCAAGATGTGGGGCCCACAAAAAAATGTTCTTCTCACCATCGTCTTCATTCTTCTTCTCCCCTTCATTGTCACATTTTTTTTTTTCAAATAGGATCAAGCGTTGAGCTTGAGCCATTGATTTTGGTTTCAATTTTGTGATCTCAACTAAATCCATTGCATAGGCAAAACCTAATTCAATCAACCCATCAAGCAAGAGAACTCAAAACATAGGCCACAATGTCGCCGCCAATAGGCCTTCGACAATGACATAATCACAATTATCTTCAGACATCTTTTCATTGGCATAGGAGAGAGTTGATTTTGGAGGTGGGGTGTGGAGCTCACTAAAGGTCGGGTGAAGAGCTAACAAGGTTGGAGAAAAATGAAGAAAAGCTCATCGATAATGGATGAGAAGATCATTGATGCTAGGGTGAGAAGGTTGCTAATAATATGTTCTGTTGCTTTGCCCACTGCCAGCAGTGATGAATCCATCGATTCCCACTACATCGTCGACCAATGGTGGTTCAGCTTCGCCATTTCCTCCAAATCACTACTTCTACATCTAGAATTTTGCCACCATTGCAACTGGAGGAGAGAAGAAGAATGAAGAAGATGATGCCATGTAGATGGTCAGAAGGAAGTTTGATTAAGCCAAGTCAGATTTTTATGGGCCCCATGCCTAGACAAGTCAACATATAACGGGAGAACAAACAGCTATTTAATAAAAGGGAATTTTTGCTCCCTTAAAAAATAATTCAGGAAAAATTTTACCCCACTTAAGAATATAAGGTGCCTAACGCTCTTCAGAAAAAAAAAAAAAAAAGAGTAAAGACAAAATTGAACTATAACGCAATATGTAATATTAATGGATGTGATGTGAACACATAGGTGACACTCCCCAAAACAAGAAGCTAAATTTAAAAGCATATTACTTTAAATCCAAAGATGATCGCTACATTTGGTAATTCTATTCATTTCTCTTCCTTTAGAACTTTAAAGAACGTACTTAAACTGATGGTGGGTGCCGAGGATGTCTTCAAAGTACAAAGCATGTATAAAGACTTCAAATTAATATAATGTTGGTAAAATTGAAGCGACATTTATAGGACATACCCTAGAAAATAAATACCCTAACTTCTTAGAAAAATTACACCTAAGTTTCATAGAAGAGAATTTATTATTAAGAGATTTTATGAAATTCACAAAATACTTCCAAATTTCAAATCCTACATATTTACAATTTAGCTAAGGACATTTACAACTTATCTAAGGGTATTTATAACTTGTAATAGTAAATGCTAAATGCTAGTTCAAAACAGTAAATGTATCCATATCCAATACAATGCTTGTAGGATATTTCATATGTATCTTATATTTTAACATTTCTAATATGATTTTTTTTTCTAAAAAATTTTATGATGTCACTTAAAAATTTAAAAAAACACTTAATATTTTAATTGATTGTTATAAATATCTTTATATTATTTTAGAAATTCTTGTTTAAAAATAAAATACTTATATCTATATTATAAAATGTTGAAATATATATTATAATTATAAATATCTCCATACCTGTATCCTAAAATTTTAAAAATTTGTTATATCACCTTATCATATTGGATACTCATAGCCGTATCTCACCAACTTAGGTTATAAATGCCTTTAGCCAAATTATAGATATGCAGTATTTGAGCTTTGAGAGTATTTTGTAAATTTCATAGAGCCTTTTGGTAATAAATTCTCTTCTATTAAATCTAAGTACAATTTTTCCTAACTTCTTTCAGGTTGACAGTCACTAAATCTCTTAGGAACATGTTCAATTCCAAAATTCTGTAGCACCCATAAGATAGAAATCATACCACAAGGCATCAATAACAGATCATCAAAAACAATGAAACATGTGATTTCTCAAAGATAGCCAGTGAAGCGATTTGAGAGCTGCTTGTCATCAAAGTCATACATTATATAATTTCAATAATACTTTTTCATTGGGTTCAACTGCAGTTCCTTATAACTATCTGAATTAAAATACTTGAGATCTAGATTTTCTACACTTTCAAGTAGCAAGGTTATGCTGTTAAATTTGCAAGGCTGCACAAAACAGTCCTTACTAAAAGAAGTTTAGAAACAGTTCCCAAGAGGGCAATGTAAAGATGCTTAAGAGAACATCATCAAAGTCCTTCCCTTCTTCAGCATACAGTACTTTATTTTTCTTCTTGTCTACTATCAGAGTCAAAGAAATCTGCTTCTGGTTTTTGGATGTAGCCATTATCATGAAGAACCAAAAGTCCTAAAGTACTAGTGTATGTCAGATGATTCTCTACAAGTTTAATGGAGGATGCTATAAATCATTTTTTATGTAGAAGTTATGCATTGGTGATTTAATTTCATGCAGAATCAAATATAGACCGACAATGAAACTTACCCCCAAAGCATCGAATTTGGATCAGATAAAATTAATGATACAGATAATTAATAACATAAGAAATAGATCATCAGCATCCTTCTCAGAAACCATGAACGTTACTTGTTACTTTTTCCTGATGAAGTAAATAGAGTAACTTTTTTAAGGTGCAACCTGATATTCTTAATTATAGTATCGCCGGAATTACAAGAATGTTCAACACATCAAGCACGAGTAGACTGCATTGCAAATTTAGGTAACATGAGTTTTAACTTCAAAAATTACTATCAATAATTAATTAATAATGGTCATTCTTACAAAGACTAGGGTCATGTTTGGTTACCAAACCAACGACCTGGGAGGCATAACTTATATCGATAATTTAATTATTATTGCGTTACCGCATATCAATGTGATGAGATTTCAGATCAGATTCCATTAAAGAATTATTCAAGAAAGAAGCCACAGAAGATAAATTAAATTTGAATATTATTTGATTTAAATATGATTTTAGTTTGTTGTTATATGATTTAATATTATTTGAATATTATTTAGAATAGGTTTTAGGAGACTCTATTTAGATATCTAATTCTTTAGACTTTATTATATTTTATTTAGATTCAAATTTTATTTAGTTTTTAATTATCTAGTTATCTAGATTTCAATCATGTCTAGCTTTATAAATATGTCTAGCAACTCAAAAGATAGCATATCATGAATAAAATAATTTCTTAAACCCTTTAAAGATTCTTTTAAGCATAGCTATTGAGAGAAATATAAAACAAGATTCTTGTTCTATATCATCTTGATAGATTTATTTTGGGATAATGTAACTTTTAGTTCCTCAAGTTTGACTCAATTATTGATTTGGTCCCTCAAGTTTGATTTTTATTGATTTAGTCCCTTAAATTTACATCAATTATTGATTTATTCCTTACTGTTTAAAAAGGAAGCAACTTTGTTAAAATTCATTGACATGGATCACATAATATTGATGGAAGCCATGTAGATAATATTAATGACAAGAATTGTCATTATTTAGTTTGAAGGAAAAAAAAACTCTAAAGTTTAAAAAAACAAGTGAACAAAATACAATATAAAGAATTAATAAAAATTAAAGTAATTTGAGGGCTAATTTATTTTTATTTAGCTGTATATATATGTCAAGTTATTAATATATTTTGCACATTAAATTATTTTAAAAGTCAATTTATGTTTTAAAACTTAAAAGACTCACATGATAATTTAAAAAAAAATATAAAGGATCAAATTAATATAGATTAAACTTGAGGGATTAAATCAATAATTGAGATAAATTTGAGAGATTGAAAGTTTCATTATCCCATTTATTTCTCTTATTTTCTCTCGTTATTTTGAGCACCTATCAATTTGGCATCAAAATCTGGTTAACCATAGTTACTGAAACTATCAGAAACAACTTATACAGAAAACCTAGAAAATCCAAGCCCAACTACACCCGACCATTTGGCTGTAATTGCATCACGCCTTGAGAACCTAAAGTAATAATTAACTTTAGAAAAAATAAAATTCCCAAATCTCAAATATAAGGTTTTATTAAAAATTTAAATTCTAATTTCAAGCTTAAACCCCAAACTAAACCATTAGGACTTCAATGATACTTCAATCAAACCCAAATCAATCATTAAATTCTAATTTAATCGGCATAGATATCATATCCATAAAATCATAAATTTTTAAATTAAAACCTTCATTTTAAATCCTCAAATTAACCAATAGAACAAATCTAAACCCATAAAATTTAAGTATTAATTTATTTCTACAATCTTATA